CCGCCCAGGTCATGGCCGGGTTCCCGCGACCAGGGCGGGGGCCCCGCGCTACTCAATAACGAGGCAGCGGGGCAGGTGCTGCGAGAAGTACTTGAAGAGCTCGGGGGTGGCCCCGGGGCAGTTGGTCAGTTCCAGCTCCTCCAGCTCCTGCAGCTGCACCAAGCCCGACAGCCCGGTGGTGGTGAGCAGCGGGCAGCCTGCGGCGGGGTTAGAGGGCGGCTCAGTGCGCAGGACCCAGGGCTTGGGCGGGGAAGGCGGGGACGGCGGGGTCATAGGGCGGCTCAGTGCCCGCGTCTCCCTCCTCCTCCGCCTCGGACCCGGGACGGTGTGTCCGCGCCGGGCGTGAGTTTGCACAAGGACCGGGCAGGCTGGGCGGGCGGACTAGGTGGGGGTGGGTGGTCACTGCTCAGCGTTAGAGTAGAAACGGGGGTCTCACCTGCCAGAGACAGGAGGCGCAAACTCCCCAGGGCCAGGAGGTGCTTCAGCCCGAAGTCCTGCACCTGTCGGTCGTGGAGGAGCGACTTAATGATTTCCGCTCGCACCGAGGCGGAGGGCACCCTGGGGTCCATGGAGGGCTAGGCGGGTTCAAGCCCGGGGTTCCTCAGTCATCCCGGAGCCGGGAGGCAGCTGGGAAGTGCTGGTGGGGGCCGCCGGGGACCCCTGGGTTCCGCTTAGGTCGGCTGCTGGATGGTGGGGGGCCCCAGACTCTCCCAGGATCTGAGTGGGTCCGGGAGCTCTCCCCGCGCCCCCACCTCCCCGCTGATTCCCCAGTCCCGGGGTGTTTGAGAGCCGGTACCTGGCAGCACCATCGCAGGTAGAGGCTGCGGAGGGACGACATGGTGGACAGGTAGCTGAGGCCAGTGTCCGTGATGCGTACACACCTGTGGTTGCACCAGAGGGGACCCCCTCCTTCAAATCACCTGGCCCGGGCCCTCCCTCGTCTTCCTGGGAGTGCCCCTGGCGTGAATCCCTTCCTGCCCCACCTGGAGCAGCCACGGGCCCCTCCTCGATCCCACCCACCGGGAAGGACCCAGGCCTGAGGGTGGCTCCAGCTCGCAGGCTT